CGTACGTATTGGTATGTACGGCAGGACCAACTCGGAAAGATAGGTAGGAGCAAGCCCATGTAACGCTTTATAGGTTAACAGTAAAACCTTGAAATCAGCCCTTGCCTTAACTCTGCTGTAGAGCTCGTCACTCCCCCTAACTGGGAGGGGGCCAGAGACAATTACTCGATGCCGACACATCTTTCTAGCTGATTTACACGCTGAAGCTATGTTGCACTTGGTGACCTCTGACTGTTTCATCCTAACATCGTTGGTGCCGACGTGGATAACAATATCTCTATACTCTCTACACTCGCCAGTTTTAGCTTTAGCCAGCACCATCTTTAGATTAGCCTTAACGTCGGTAGCCCTGCCCCCTGGTAAACAGTGTATGATCGCTGGGTGATTCGTTTTAAGTCTAATACTGCGGGTAATGGAGTCGCCAATGACTAGGGTTTTCAATTTGTCAGAGCTAATGGTGGGAGCCTTCGGCGTCTCAGACCCCGTAACGGGAGGAGTAGAGACAAGAGAAGACTCAGACTCAGACTCCGACTCGCTACATAATGGGGAAAAACCGGTTGAAAGTTTCTGTCGGCTGAATGAGCGACACCGGTTGAGCATTCCAACAGTATTTCCCTCCAGAAGCCATGAGAAAGTTGTCCGGCTGCGGGGACTGTGCGGGGGGATTTATACTAACGTTACTATCTGTACTTACTGGTGGCACAGACGCTGTTTCTTCCTTTCCTACACTGAAATTACCCTTGCCTAACGATTGCGTCTGAAGCTGGGCTTGTAGCACAGCTATTCTCGCCGTAAGGCGATCGTTCTCCTGTATATTATGAGTACAGCGACTGCAATTAGAAGACATCATGTTAATGTTACTACTTAGCTTCGGCTGTTGAAGATGTTGACGAACCATGTCCAGATAAAGCGTCCGGAGTGAAAAAGTTGAATGAGGGAAAAAAGTTGCGATGGAAAAAAGGAAAATAAAGTAAAGTTGGCAGCAAAAACGCACAGGAAAATGACTCTTCTGTCTCGGGATAAAACGTCCGGGGTGAAAAAGTTTAACGAAAAAAGATGAGTGAGGACAAAACTAAAAAGTTGGTAAATTTGTTGAACACAGAGATTGATTAAACGTTTATTAAAAGTAAAACGTGAATAGTTTGGCAGGTAGCCAAGTAGGAACAAACAGCACAGCAGCACGGAGACAATGCGGAAGCGAGACGGAAGTCGATTGGAAAGTACTCTGTTCATAGAAAATCCACAGATTTTCTATGGGATTAAGGTCTGGAGACTGGCTAGGCCACTCCAGGACCTTAATGTGCTTCTTCTTGAGCCACTCCTTTGTTGCCTTGGCCGTGTGTTTTGGGTCATTGTCATGCTGGAATACCCATCCACGACCCATGGTCAATGCCCTGGCTGAGGGAAGGAGGTTCTCACCCAAGATTTGACGGTACATGGCCCCATCCATCGTCCCTTTGATGCGGTGAAGTTGTCCTGTCCCCTTAGCAGAAAAACACCCCCAAAGCATAATGTTTCCACCTCCATGTTTGACGGTGGGGATGGTGTTATTGGGGTCATAGGCAGCATTCCTCCTCCTCCAAACACGGCGAGTTGAGTTGATGCCAAATAGCTAGATTTTGGTCTCATCTGACCACAACACTTTCACCCAGTTCTCCTCTGAATCATTCAGATGTTCATTGGCAAACTTCAGACGGGTCTGTATATGTGCTTTCTTGAGCAGGGGGACCTTGCGGGCGCTGCAGGATTTCAGTCCTTTACGGCGTAGTGCGTTACCAATTGTTTTCTTGGTGACTATGGTCCCAGCTGCCTTGAGATCATTGACAAGATCCTCCCGTGTAGTTCTGGGCTGATTCCTCACCGTTCTCATGGTCATTGCAACTCCATGAGGTGAGATCTTGCATGGAGCCCCAGGCCGAGGGAGATTGACAGTTCTTTTGGGTTTCTTCCATTTGCGAATAATCGCACCAACTGTTGTCACCTTCTCACCAAGCTGCTTGGTGATGGTCTTGTAATCCATTCCAGCCTTGTGTAGGTCTACAATCGTGTCCCTGACATCCTTGGAGAGCTCTTTGGTCTTGGCCATGGTGGAGAGTTTGGAATCTGATTGATTGATTGCTTCTGTGGACAGGTGTCTTTTATACAGGTAACAAACTGAGATTAGGAGCACTCCCTTTAAGAGTGTGCTCCTAATCTCAGCTCGTTACCTGTATAAAAGACACCTGGGAGCCAGAAATCTTTCTGATTGAGAGGGGGTCAAATACTTATTTCCCTCATTAAAATGCAAATCAATTTATAACATTTTTGACATGCGTTATTCTGGATTTTGTTGTTGTTATTCTGTCTCTCACTGTTCAAATAAACCTACCATTAAAATGATAGACTGATCATTTCTTTGTCAGTGGGCAAACGTACAAAATCAGCAGGGGATCAAATACTTTTTTCCCCTCACTGTACATGTTTAACTATGACTGTGGTAAGATCTCGGTTTTCCAACAGTACATTTTAAACACACTGAAAAAAAAATGCCACGAACCAGGCAGTGATTTCAGAATACCTTTAGTTTATTGGACAAGCAACGCAAGCCAGAAATGTATAACAATCGCATAACAAAAACTACTAAATCGGGGGAAAAAAATGTGCAAAACCATGGAACCGTTTGGACAGATTGGAAAGTGCATCAGTGAGCTGAGACAGAGGCTGGACAATGGATACTGAGACTGAGGTTGGATTATGTGATTGACAGGTTAGCCGTGTGATTGACAGGTTAGCCGTGTGATTGACAGGTTAGCTGTGTGATTGACAGGTTAGCCGTGTGATTGACAGGTTAGTATGTGATTGACAGGTTAGCTGTGTGATTGACAGGTTAGCCGTGTGATTGACAGGTTAGCTGTGTGATTGACAGGTTAGCTGTGTGATTGACAGGTTAGCTGTGTGATTGACAGGTTAGCTGTGTGATTGACAGGTTAGCTGTGTGATTGACAGGTTAGCTGTGTGTGTGAGCGTAGTGTCCGTGTAGAGGAGACTATCCAAAAGAGGTTTTAACTGAAATAAAAGTAAGGTTTATTTCTCTAAAATAGCTAAATGCACCCTGTAGCTAGCTAGCAATAAAGATGTTGCTGAAAAGATCAGGAGTTATAGTCAACAAGAAACTATCTGGGAATTCCAAACACACAAAGTTGATGCTGGTTGCAAATCTCTGACCTTACAGCCACGGCAGCACATCATCATAACATATTCAGATAGTTTAAAAGGCCCTCCGTCTCCCTGACCGCTCCACTGTTTCCGTACCACTACAGATACATGTCTCAGAACTGTAAGGTCTGTAAATATGTCCAAATGACGCCACAACAGTACATACAGTGATCTCCAAAAGTATTGAGACAGTGACACATTTCTGTTTGTTTTGGCTCTGTACACTCCAACGCTTTGGATTTGAAATGATACAATGACTGTGAGGTTAAAGTGCAGACTGTCAGCTTTAATTTGAGGGTGAACCGTTTAGAAATTACAGCACTTTTTGTACATAGTCCCCCCCCCCATTTTAGGGTACCAAAAGTATTGGGACAAATTCACTTGTGTGTGTGTTAAAGTAGTCAAAATTTAAGTATTTGGTCCCATATTCCTAGAACACAATGATTACACAAAGCTTGTGACTCTACACGCTTGTTGGATGCATTTGCTGTTTGTTTTGGTTGTGTTTCAGATGATCTTGTGAAATGAACGGGAAATAAAAGTGTCATTTTGGAGTCACTTTTATTGTAAATAAGAATAGAATGTTTCTAAACAGTTCTACATTATTAAATGTGGAATTATTCACGCTTCATTTCGGATTATCCGTAACCATGGTAGCATCCACATTCATGTAGAACTGTTTAGAAACATTATATTCTTATTTACAATAAAAGTGACTCCAAAATGACCCAATCCATTATTTCTAGTCCTACTGGGAGAAAGAGAAACAACGTGGTTGGTTTCTAGTCCTACTGGGAGAAAGAGAAACAACGTGGTTGGTTTCTAGTCCTGCTGGGAGAAAGAGAAACAACGTGTGGTTTCTAGTCCTACTGGGAGAAAGAGAAACAACGTGTTTGGTTTCTAGTCCTACTGGGAGAAAGAGAAACAACGTGTTTGGTTTCTAGTCCTACTGGGAGAAAGAGAAACAACGTGTTTGGTTTCTAGTCCTACTGGGAGAAAGAGAAACAACGTGTTTGGTTTCTAGTCCTACTGGGAGAAAGAGAAACAACGTGTTTGGTTTCTAGTCCTACTGGGAGAAAGAGAAACAACGTGTTTGGTTTCTAGTCCTACTGGGAGAAAGAGAAACAACGTGTTTGGTTTCTAGTCCTACTGGGAGAAAGAGAAACAACGTGTTTGGTTTCTAGTCCTACTGGGAGAAAGAGAAACAACGTGTTTGGTTTCTAGTCCTACTGGGAGAAAGAGAAACAACGTGTTTGGTTTCTAGTCCTGCTGGGAGAAAGAGAAACAACGTGTTTGGTTTCTAGTCCTACTGTAGCCGGTCACGACTTGTTAAGGATTTGGAAAAACAGCTGATTTGTAGTAATTTATTTTCCTCACATAATTAGCGAACACAACATGTCAAATTAAATCAGTCAAACCATGTCTTAAAATAAACAGAATCACTGGGTGCTACTGTACACACACACACACACACACACACACACACACACACACACACACACACACACACACACACACACACACACACACACACACACACACACACACACACACACACACACACAGGGTAGACGGGGTGTGTTGTGTACAGACAAAGGCCTCCCTGTTAAAAGTGCTGTAGTGTGGAGTGGACAGCAGGTCCCCCTCTGACCCCAACTGGGCTGAAGTCTCAGCCACTAGGTAACAGCAGGATGGGCTCAGACAGCCCTCCTCTCTCTCTCTCTCCTCCCTCTCTAGGTAACAGCAGGATGGGCTCAGACAGCCCTCCTCTCTCTCTCTCCTCCCTTTCTCTCTCTCTCATCTCCTTATTTCAGGCCCCGTCTCAGCCTGTTGCTCCGGTGGCTCCTGTTACTGAACATCAGACGAGGATCAAAATTATACCTGCAGAGAGAAGAGGAGAGGAGAGGGTTAGAGCTGGGTGGTCTGTAGAGAGGAGAGGGTTAGAGCTGGGTGGTTGGTCTGTGTACTGTGCGTGGTGGTGGTGGTGGTGTCGTTGGTCTGTGTACTGTGCGTGGTGGTGGTGTGGTGGTGGTGTGGTGGTGGTGTCGTTGGTCTGTGTACTGTGCGTGGTGGTGGTGGTGTGTCTGTGCGTACCGTGTGTCGTAGACTCCAGGGGTCCTACAGGACGGTCCAGAACAGGACTGCAGCATCATCAGTCTGTGGTTCATCTTCTCCAGGACCTCCTGGTCAATGGTCTTCGCCAGGTTACTGAGCTGGTAGGGGTCTGCTGTCATGTTATATACCTCTACAAACACCTGGGACACAGACAGACAGACAGACAGACAGACAGACAGACAGACAGAGAGAGAGAGAGAGAGAGAGAGAGTTAGTTAGTAGGGTGGACTGGCGGCCATGTTGAGTGTCCCCATAGCAGTAAAGCAGGAACTTCATTCTATTTCTATGGGTGGACTGGCGGCCATGTTGAGTGTCCCCATAGCAGTAAAGCAGGAACATCATTCTATTTCTATGGGTGGACTGGCGGCCATGTTGAGTGTCCCCATAGCAGTAAAGCAGGAACTTCATTATATTTCTATGGGTGGACTGGCGTCCATGTTGAGTGTCCCCATAGCAGTAAAGCAGGAACTTCATTATATTTCTATGGGTGGACTGGCGTCCATGTTGAGTGTCCCCATAGCAGTACAGCAGGAACTTCATTCTATTTCTATGGGTGGACTGGCGGCCATGTTGAGTGTCCCCATAGCAGTAAAGCAGGAACTTCATTCTATTTCTATGGGTGGACTGGCGGCCATGTTGAGTGTCCCCATAGCAGTACAGCAGGAACTTCATTCTATTTCTATGGGTGGACTGGCGGCCATGTTGAGTGTCCCCATAGCAGTACAGCAGGAACTTCATTCTATTTCTATGGGTGGACTGGCGGCCATGTTGAGTGTCCCCATAGCAGTACAGCAGGAACTTCATTCTATTTCTATGGGTGGACTGGCGGCCATGTTGAGTGTCCCCATAGCAGTAAAGCAGGAACTTCATTCTATTTCTATGGGTGGACTGGCGGCCATGTTGAGTGTCCCCATAGCAGTAAAGCAGGAACTTCATTCTATTTCTATGGGTGGACTGGCGGCCATGTTGAGTGTCCCCATAGCAGTACAGCAGGAACTTCATTCTATTTCTATGGGTGGACTGGCGGCCATGTTGAGTGTCCCCATAGCAGTACAGCAGGAACTTCATTCTATTTCTATGGGTGGACTGGCGGCCATGTTGAGTGTCCCCATAGCAGTACAGCAGGAACTTCATTCTATTTCTATGGGTGGACTGGCGGCCATGTTGAGTGTCCCCATAGCAGTACAGCAGGAACTTCATTCTATTTCTATGGGTGGACTGGCGGCCATGTTGAGTGTCCCCATAGCAGTAAAGCAGGAACTTCATTCTATTTCTATGGGTGGACTGGCGGCCATGTTGAGTGTCCCCATAGCAGTAAAGCAGGAACTTCATTCTATTTCTATGGGTGGACTGGCGGCCATGTTGAGTGTCCCCATAGCAGTACAGCAGGAACTTCATTCTATTTCTATGGGTGGACTGGCGGCCATGTTGAGTGTCCCCATAGCAGTAAAGCAGGAACTTCATTCTATTTCTATGGGTGGACTGGCGGCCATGTTGAGTGTCCCCATAGCAGTACAGCAGGAACTTCATTCTATTTCTATGGGTGGACTGGCGGCCATGTTGAGTGTCCCCATAGCAGTAAAGCAGGAACTTCATTCTATTTCTATGGGTGGACTGGCGGCCATGTTGAGTGTCCCCATAGCAGTACAGCAGGAACTTCATTCTATTTCTATGGGTGAGACATATACACATCCCTAACACAAACATATTGTGACTAAAGGTGATAGTTCTCTCCCTCTGTTACCTCGTTGTCATCAAACTCGCAGTACTGGAGGTTGGTAAAGGGGCTGACGGTCCGAACGCAGGCGTACGTGTTGTTAAAGGAATCCTCACACACACAGTCAGGGAAACACTCGGAGACCCCCGGGCCCAGCAGGGGGCAAGCTGGATCAGCCACATCAGACCCCTCCCCTTCATACTCCACCAGGAAGTCTGTTCTCCAGGTTGAGCTGTTCACTGATCCCCCCTGACACACACAGAACACACACACAGGATTCAGATGAATACCAGTTACACACTGTTCACAGAACACACAACTACCACCATGTCTAGACTCTGTTGTAATAGACTGTGTTGTACTAGACTGTGTTGTACTAGACTGTGTTGTAATAGACTGTGTTGTAATAGACTGTGTTGTAATAGACTGTGGTGTAATAGACTGTGTTGTACTAGACTGTGTTGTACTAGACTGTGTTGTAATAGACTGTGTTGTACTAGACTGTTGTACTAGACTGTTGTACTAGACTGTGTTGTACTAGACTGTGTTGTAATAGACTGTTGTACTAGACTGTGTTGTAATAGACTGTTGTACTAGACTGTGTTGTACTAGACTGTGTTGTAATAGACTGTTGTAATAGACTGTGTTGTACTAGACTGTTGTAATAGACTGTGTTGTACTAGACTGTGTTGTAATAGACTGTGTTGTAATAGACTGTTGTAATAGACTGTGTTGTACTAGGCTGTGTTGTAATAGACTGTTGTCATAGACTGTGTTGTACTAGACTGTGTTGTACTAGACTGTGTTGTACTAGACTGTGTTGTACTAGACTGTGTTGTACTAGACTGTGTTGTACTAGACTGTGTTGTATAGACTTGGTTGTACTAGACTGTTTGTACTAGACTGTGTTGTACTAGACTGTGTTGTACTAGACTGTGTTTTGTAATAGACTGTGTTGTACTAGACGTGTTGTACTAGACTGTTTTGTAATAGACGGTGTTGTACTAGACTGTGTTGTACTAGACTGTGTTGTACTAGACTGTGTTGTATAGACTGTGTGTACTAGACTGGGTTTTACTAGGGAGCTGTGTGTACTAGACTGTGTTGTACTAGACTGTTGTAATAGACTGTTGTACTAGACTGTGTTGTACTAGATGTGTTGTATAGACTGTGTGTACTAGACTGTGTAATGACTGTGGTGTACTAGACTGTGTTGTACTAGACTGTGTTGTAATAGACTGTGTTGTACTAGACTGTTGTACTAGACTGTGTTGTACTAGACTGTGTTGTACTAGACTGTTGTTATAGACTGTGTTGTAATAGACTGTTGTACTAGACTGTGTTGTACTAGACTGTGTTGTACTAGACTGTGTTGTACTAGACTGTGTTGTAATAGACTGTTGTACTAGACTGTGTTGTAATAGACTGTGTTGTATAGACTGTGTTGTACTAGACTGTGTTGTACTAGACTGTGTTGTAACTAGACTGTTGTACTAGACTGTGTTGTACTAGACTGTGTTGTACTAGACTGTGTTGTACTAGACTGTGTTGTACTAGACTGTTGTACTAGACTGTTGTACTAGACTGTGTTGTACTAGACTGTTGTACTAGACTGTGTTGTACTAGACTGTGTTGTAATAGACTGTTGTACTAGACTGTGTTGTACTAGACTGGTTTACTAGACTGTGTTGTACTAGACTGTTGTACTAGACTGTGTTGTACTAGACTGTGTTGTACTAGACTGTTTGTACTAGACTGTGTTGTACTAGACTGTGTTGTAATAGACTGTTGTACTAGACTGTGTTGTACTAGACTGTTGTATAGACTGTGTTGTACTAGATTGTGTTGTACTAGACTGTTGTACTAGACTGTGTTGTACTAGACTGTGTTGTACTAGACTGTGTTGTACTAGACTGTGTTGTACTAGACTGTGTTGTACTAGACTGTTGTACTAGGCTGTGTTGTACTAGACTGTTGTACTAGACTGTTGTACTAGACTGTGTTATACTAGACTGTGTTGTAATAGACTGTGTTGTACTAGCCTGTGTTGTAATAGACTGTTGTAATAGACTGTGTTGTACTAGACTGTGTTGTACTAGACTGTGTTGTACTAGACTGTGTTGTACTAGACTGTTTGTAATAGACTGTGTTGTACTAGACTGTGTTGTATAGACTGTGTTGGGTGACTAGCTGTGTGTAATAGACGTGTTATACTAGACTGTGTTGTAATAGACTGTGTTGTACTAGACTGTGTTGTACTAGACTGTGTTGTACTAGGACGTGTTGTACTAGGCTGTGTTGTAATAGACTGTGTTATACTAGACTGTGTTGTAATAGACTGTTGTACTAGACTGTGTTGTACTAGACTGTGTTGTAATAGACTGTTGTACTAGACTGTGTTGTACTAGACTGTGTTGTACTAGGCTGTGTTGTACTAGGCTGTGTTGTACTAGGCTGTGTTGTAATAGGACTGTGTTGTACTAGACTGTGTTGTAATAGACTGTGGTGTACTAGACTGTGTTGTACTAGACTGTGTGTAATAGACGTGTTGTTGTACAGACTGTGTTGTACTAGACTGTGTTGTAATAGACTGTGTTGTAATAGACTGTGTTGTAATAGACTGTGTTGTACTAGACTGTGTTGTACTAGACTGTTGTAATAGACTGTGTTGTACTAGACTGTGTGTACTAGACTGTGTTGTAATAGACTGTGTTGTACTAGACTGTGTTGTACTAGACTGTGTTGTAATAGACTGTGTTGTAATAGACTGTGTTGTACTAGACTGTGTTGTACTAGACTGTGTTGTACTAGACTGTTGTAATAGACTGTGTTGTACTAGACTGTGTTGTAATAGACTGTGTTGTACTAGACTGTGTTGTAATAGACTGTGTTGTAATAGACTGTGTTGTAATAGACTGTGTTGTACTAGACTGTGTTGTACTAGACTGTGTTGTAATAGACTGTGTTGTACTAGACTGTTGTAATAGACTGTGTTGTACTAGACTGTGTTGTAATAGACTGTGTTGTATAGACTGTGTTGTATAGACTGTGTTTGTAATAGACTGTTTGTATAGACTGTGTTGTACTAGACTGTGTTGTACTAGACTGTGTTGTAATAGACTGTGTGTACTAGACTGTGTTGTACTAGACTGTGTTGTACTAGACTGTGTTGTAATAGACTGTGTTGTAATAGACTGTGTTGTAATAGACTGTGTTGTACATAGACTGTGTTGTACTAGACTGTGTGTACTAGACTGTGTTGTACTAGACTGTGTTGTACTAGACTGTGTTGTACTACTGGGTACTAGCTGTTGTACTAGACTGTGTTGTACTAGACTGTGTTGTATAGACTGTGTTGTACTAGACTGTGTTGTACTAGACGTGTTGTACATAGACTGTGTTGTACTAGACTGTGTGTACTAGACTGTGTTGTACTAGACTGTGTTGTACTAGGCTGTGTTGTACTAGGCTGTGTTGTACTAGACTGTGGTACTAGACTGTGTGTACTAGACTGTGGTGTACTAGACTGTGGTGTACTAGACTGTGTTGTACTAGACTGTGTTGTACTAGACTGTGGTGTACTAGACTGTGTGTATAGACTGTGTTGTATAGACTGTGTTGTACTAGGCTGTGTTGTACTAGACTGTGTTGTACTAGACTGTGTTGTACTAGACTGTGGTGTACTAGACTGTGTTGTAATAGACTGTGTTGTACTAGGCTGTGTTGTACTAGACTGTGGTGTACTAGACTGTGGTGTACTAGACTGTGTTGTATAGACTGTGTTGTACTAGACTGGTTGTACTAGGCTGTGTGTACTAGACTGGTGTTTGGTACTAGGTGTTTGTTAGCTGATGGTTGGATGTCACCTAGGACAGTGAGTGAACTAGATCATGTACGTTGTAAGGCTGTTATACTAGCCTGTGGATGTACTGACCTGGTGGTGGGAGCTAGCTGTGTCTGTATAGCTGTGTTGGGTAAGTAGACGACTGTTGTATAGAGCTGCCTCTATCCGGGGGAGAGAACTGACCTGGGGGGAGAGAGCTGCCTCTTATCCAGGGGGAGAGAGAACTGACCTGGGGGGGAGAGAGCTGCCTCTTATCCAGGGGGAGAGAGAACTGACCTGGGGGGGAGAGAGCTGCCTCTTATCCAGGGGGAGAGAGAACTGACCTGGGGGGGAGAGAGCTGCCTCTTATCCAGGGGGAGAGAGAACTGACCAGGGGGGGAGAGAGCTGCCTCTTATCCAGGGGGAGAGAGAACTGACCTGGGGGGGAGAGAGCTGTCTCTTATCCAGGGGGAGAGAGAACTGACCTGGGGGGGAGAGAGAGCTGCCTCTTATCCAGGGGGAGAGAGAACTGACCTGGGGGGGAGAGAGCTGCCTCTTATCCAGGGGGAGAGAGAACTGACCTGGGGGGGGAGATAGCTGCCTCTTATCCAGGGGGAGAGAGAACTGACCTGGGGGGGGAGAGAGCTGCCTCTTATCCAGGGGGAGAGAGAACTGACCTGGGGGGGGGAGAGAGCTGCCTCTTATCCAGGGGGAGAGAGAACTGACCTGGGGGGGAGAGAGAACTGACCTGGGGGGGAGAGAGCTGCCTCTTATCCAGGGGGAGAGAGAACTGACCTGGGGGGGAGAGAGAACTGACCTGGGGGGGAGAGAGAACTGACCTGGGGGGGAGAGAGAACTGACCTGGGGGGGAGGAGTCAGCGGAGTGACAGCTATCCTCTTAGAGGTGGAGATGTTTACTTTTCTGTATGCGGTGTGTGTGAGGCATGAGTACCTGTCTGTGTGTGTGTGTGTGGGGGTGTCTGTGTGTGTGTGTGTGTGTGTGTGTGTGTGTGTGTGTGTGTGTGTGTGTGTGTGTGTGTGTGTGTCTGTGTGTGTGTGTGTGTGTGTCTGTGTGTGTGTGTGTGTCTGTGTGTGTGTGTGTGTCTGTGTGTGTCTGTGTGTACCTGTGTGGTATCCGTTGTCTGAGGTGAAGATGATGTAAGTGTTCTCCAATTCACCTCTGACCTCTAACCTCTTAACCACCTTCTCCACCAGGTCATCCACTGACAGCAGAGTACGCCACCTAGTGGGGGGGGGGGGGACACACACATTATAACTCATAAAGGTGACTCGTTTCAGGAAACTAGGCGTATGTCGCACATCACTAGTTCACAGGAGAGGCATTTAAACAATTATTAAAATGTTTTATCAATTTGCGTTTTTGGGCAGAAATGCCTTCTGGAACATGTGAACTTTCATGTGCCTTAATAACAAACTTGTATGGGATCTGTAAATACAAATACAATTCTTAAATTACGAGCCCAGTTGGTTTAACCACGGAAACAGAGAGGAACCTTCCCGCTAGCCATGATTGGCTGAGATAATGGATGGGCTGGTCATGCTGAGAGATGAGTTCGGATTGGCAGAACTGCAAAAAACACCTGTCTCCGGATTACATCTTCAAACTAAGGGCAACCATGGCATCCGTGACAGAGAGGGAGAAGCGTTCAGAGTGTATCTAGCTACATTTTCAGATATTATATGTTTCAAATTTTGTCAGAAAATCGTTTTCAATGCAAGTTAAAGCGTACTGTTAGCTAGCTAGCTAACGTTAGCTGGCAGACTCGCTAGCTAACGTTACGTGTATAATCTGTGTAGTAATATTATCGTATCTCAGAGCCATTTGTATTGCTAGTTATAGCCTAATGTTAGCTAGCTAGCTAACATTGAACCTAGTTGGTTAGCTTTAGCTACCTGTAGATTCATGCAGGGTAGTAACGAGTTGTGATTATGATTAATTGTTTAGCTAGCTAGCTACATGTGTAAACAAAAGACTCCACTATGCAAGTAACCATTTCAATGTACCATTTACACCTTCTGTATCCTGTGTATGTGACAAATAAACTTAAAATGGGATATAGTGTGTGTTTAATAATAATAATAATAATAATAATAATAATAATAATAATAATATGCCATTTAGCAGACGCTTTTATCCAAAGCGACTTACAGTCATGTGTGCATACATTTTTACGTATGGGTGGTCCCGGGGGCAGTTTACCAGAGATGGTAATGTAAAGAACAACATGACCTGCACCAAAGTCAAATTAGGAAATAACGTTAAGCCAACGAGACAGTGTCCAAGTTCTACAATTCTCTGGTAGAATGCCCTGCTTTTATGGCTGAGAACTGTGGTCCTCTGTAGCTCAGCTGGTAGAGCACGGCGCTTTTAACGCCAGGGTAGTGGGTTCGATCCCCGGGACCACCCATGCGTAAAAATTTATGCACACATGACTGTAAGTCGCTTTGGATAAAAGTGTCTGCTAAATGGCATATTATTATTATTATAATTAATCCCACTCCCAACACTAAGCTAACTTCTTTAATTTGCTCACCATTAACTTGTAAATAATGATCTTGTTGTGAGTTTATTTTCCTGTAATAATGAATACAAATTAGCCAAAGTAAAGACGTTGTCAGCTATATGATATGGTCATTATTTGAACTGGCTAGCCAGCTAACTTAACGTTAGCTAGCTGGCTAACAAGCTAGAAATGAACCAAAACATTGTTTAGAAAGTTGCTTTTAGTTGCCTGGTTTGCTAGATTGACATGGGGTGGGAAGGGAACCAGCTCCAGAAGAGTAAAAGAGGTGGTGGTGGTCCGGGAGGAAGAGGAAGAGGAAGAGGAGAGAGAAGACAGGAGGAGGAGGAGGAGGAGGAGGAGGAAGAGGAAGAACAGGAGGAGGAGAGAGAAGACAGCAGGAGGAGGAGAGAGAAGACAGGAGGAGGAAGAGGAGGAGGAGGAGGAGGAGGAGGAAGAGGAAGAACAGGAGGAGGAGAGGAAAGAAGACAGCAGGAGGAGGAGAGAGAAGACAGGAGGAGGAGGAGGAGGAGGAGGAGGAGGAGAAAGAGGAAGAACAGGAGGAGGAGAGAGAAGACAGCAGGAGGAGGAGAGAGAAGACAGGAGGAGGAGGAGGCGGAGGAGAGAGAAGACAGCAGGAGGAGGAGGAGAGAAAACAGGAGGAGGAGGAGGAGAGAAGACAGCAGGAGGAGGAGGAGAGAGAAGACAGGAGGAGGAGGAGGAAGAGGAAGAACAGGAGGAGGAGAGAGAAGACAGGAGGAGGAGGAGGAGAGAAGACAGCAGGAGGAGGAGGAGGAGGAGGAGGAGGAAGAGGAAGAACAGGAGGAGGAGAGAGAAGACAGCAGGAGGAGGAGGAGAGAGAAGACAGGAGGAGGAGGAGGAGGAGGAGAGAGAAGACAGCAGGAGGAGGAGGAGAGAGAAGACAGCAGGAGGAGGAGAGAGAAGACAGCAGGAGGAGGAGAGAGAAGACAGCAGGAGGAGGAGGAGGAGAGAGAAGAAAGGAGGAGGAGAGAGAAGACAGGAGGAGGAGGAGGAGAGAAGACAGGAGGAGGAGGAGAGAGAAGACAGGAGCAGGAGGAGGAGGAGAGAGAAGAAAGGAGGAGAGAGAAGACAGGAGGAGGAGGAGAGAGAAGACAGGAGGAGGAGAGAGAAGACAGGAGGAGGAGAGAGAAGACAGGAGGACGAGGAGAGAGAAGACAGGAGGAGGAGGAGGAGGAGAGAGAAGACAGCAGGAGGAGGAGGAGAGAGAAGACAGGAGGAGGAGGAGGAGGAGGAGGAGGAGGAGGAGAGAGAAGACAGGAGGAGGAGAGAAGACAGGAGGAGGAGAGAAGACAGGAGGAGGAGGAGGAGAGAAGACAGCAGGAGGAGGAGGAGGAGAGAGAAGACAGGAGGAGGAGGAGAGAGAAGACAGGAGCAGGAGGAGGAGAGAGAAGACAGGAGCAGGAGGAGGAGAGAGAAGACAGGAGCAGGAGGAGGAGAGAAGACAGGAGGAGAGAGAAGACAGCAGGAGGAGGAGAGAGGTGCTACTAACCGTTTCCTGAAGGCATCATCCAGTAACTCAATAGAGGAGTTGGTCATGGGAGTCTTAGCCTGTCTGATCAACCAGTGCTTGTCCTGGAGGAGGGGGAGCGGAGAAAGGGAGAGGGAGGGAGGGGGGGGAGAGGGAGAGGGAGGGAGGGAGGGGGAGAGAGAGAGGGAGGGAGGGGGGGTTGAGAGATGGGCAAGAGATGAAGGTTATTATGGTATCAGAGAGGTGCGGGGAAATGCCTTAATCCACGTCCACGTCATCGGCGCCCGGGGAACAGTTAATAATAAATAATAATAATTATTGTTGTTGTTAGGGTTAACTGCCTTGCTCAAGAGAAGAACGTCTCGGGGCTTCAAACCAGCGACCTTTCGGTTAGGTCCTGGAGTGTGCTGGTGTTGGGGTTAGGGTTACGTGTGATGGTGTTGGGGTTAGGTGTGGTGGTGGTGGTGTTAGGTCCTGTGGTTTGGTGGTGTTGGGGTTAGGTCCTGTGGTGTGGTGGTATGGTGGTGTTGGGGTTAGGTGCTGTAGTGTGGTGGTGTTGGGGTTAGGTGCTGTAGTGTGGTGGTGTTGGGGTTAGGTGCTGTAGTGTGGTGGTGTTGGGGTTAGGTGCTGTAGTGTGGTGGTGTTAGGTGCTGTAGTGTGGTGGGGTTAGGTGCTGTAGTGTGGTGGTGTTGGGGTTAGGTGCTGTAGTGTTGGGGTTAGGGCTGTAGTGTGGTGGTGTTAGGGTTAGGTGCTGTAGTGTGGTGGGGTTAGGTGCTGTAGTGTGGTGGTGTTGGGGTTAGGTGCTGTAGTGTGGTGGTTGTTAGGGTTAGGTGCTGTAGTGTGGTGGGGTTAGGTGCTGTAGTGTGGTGGTGTTGGGGTTAGGTGCTGTAGTGTTGGGGTTAGGTGCTGTAGTGTGTGGGTGTTAGGGTTAGGTGCTGTAGTGTGGTGGGGTTAGGTGCTGTAGGGTGGGGTTAGGTGCTGTAGTGTGGTGGTGTTGGGGTAGGGTCCTGTAGTGTGGGGTGTTGGGGTTAGGTGCTGTAGGTGTGGTGTGGGTAGTTTGGGGGGTAGGTCATTGTAGTGTGGTGGTGTTGGGGTTAGGGGCTGTAGTGTGGTGGTGTTGGGGTTAGGTGCTGTAGTGTGGTGGTGTTGGGTTAGGTGCTGTAGTGTGGTGGTGTTGGGGTTAGGTGCTGTAGTGTGGTGGTGTTGGGGTTAGGTGCTGTAGTGTGGTGGGGTTAGGTGCTGTAGTGTGGTGGTGTTGGGGTTAGGGGTTGGTAGTGTGGTGGTGTTGGGGTAGGTCTGAGTGTGGGGTGTTGGGGTTGGTGATGTTGTTTGTGGGGTTAGGTGCATGTAGTGGGGTGGTGTTGGGGTTAGGTGCTGTAGTGTGGTGGTGTTGGGGTTAGGTGCTGTAGTGTGGTGGTGTTGGTGTAGTGTAGTGGTGGTGGTTGGGTGGTTATGTGGGATTAGGTGCTGTAGTGTGGTGGTGTTGGGGTTAGGTGATGTAGTGTGGGTGGTGTTGGGGTGTAGGTGCTGTAGTGTGGTGGTGTTGGGTAGGTGCTGTAGGTGGTGGTAGTGGTGGGGTAGGTGCTGTAGTGTGGTGGGGTGAGGTTGTGTGTGTGGTGGGGTTAGGTGCTGTAGTGGTTGGTCGGGGTTGGGGTTAGGTGCTTGTAGTGTGGGTGGTTGGTGTGTATGTGGGGTTAGGTTGCTGTAGTGTGGTGGTGTTGGTGTTAGGTGCTGTAGTGTGGTGGTGTGGGGGTTAGGTGCTGTAGTGTGGTGGTGTTGGGGTTAGGTGCTGTAGTGTGGTGGTGTTGGGGTTAGGTGCTGTAGTGTGGTGTGGGTTAGTGCTGTGTGGTGGTGTTGGGGTTAGGTTGCTGTAGTGTGGTGGTGTTGGGGTAGGTGTTGGTTAGTGTGGTGGTGTTGGGGTTAGGTGCTGTGTTGTGGTGTGTTGGGGTTAGGTGCGTAGGTGTGGTGGTATGGTGGGTTGGGGGGTTAGGTGCTGTAGTGTGGTGGTTGGGGTTAGGTAGGTGGTGGTGGTGTTGGGGTTAGGTGTGGTAGGTGGTGGTGTTGGGGTTAGGTGCTGTAGGTGGTGGGTGGTTAGGTTAGGTGCTGTAGTGTGGTGGGTTGGGGTTAGGTGCTTGTAGTGTGGTGGGGTTGGTGTTGTTGGGGAGGTGGTGGTGTGGGGTTAGGTTGCGTAGTGTGGTGGTATGGCTTGGGGTTAGGTGTAGTGTGTGGTGTGGTGGTGTTGGGGTTAGGTGCTGTAGTGTGGTGGTGTGGGGTTAGGTGCTGTGTGTGTGGTGTGTTGGGGTTAGGTGCTGTAGTTTGGTGGTGTTGGGATTGGTGTGGGAGTGTGGTGGTGTTGGGTGGTGTAGTTGGGGTTAGGGTAGGTGCTGTATGTGGTGGTGTTAGGGTAGGGTTATTTGTGTGTAGTGTGGTGGGGTTAGGTGCTGTAGTGTGGTGGGGTAGGTGCTGGGAGTGTGGTGGTGGGGATTAGGTGCTGTGTGTGTGGTGTGGTGTGGGGTTAGGTGCTGTAGTGTGGTGGTGTTGGGGTTAGGTGCTGTAGGGTGGTGGGTTATGGTATGGTGGTTTGGTGGTATGTGAGTGTGGTGGTGTTAGGGTTAGGTGCTGTAGTGTGGTGGTATGGTATGCTGTTAGTGGTGGTTTTGGTAGTTGGTGATGTTTAGGGTTAGGTGCTGTAGGTGGGGTGGGGTTAGGGCTGTAGTGTGGTGGTGTGGTGTTAGGTGCTGTAGTGTGGTGGTGTTTGGGGTTAGGTGATTTAGTGTGGTGGTGTTGGGGTTAGGTGCTGTAGTGTGGTGGTGTGGGGTTAGGTGCTTTTAGTGTGGTGGTGTTAGGGTTAGGTGCTGTATGTGGTGGTGTTAGGTGCTGTTGGTGGTGGTGTGGGGTTAGGTGATTGTAGTGTGGTGGGTGTTGGGGTTAGGGGTTGTAGTGTGGTGGTGTTGGGGTTAGGTGCTGTAGTGTGGTTGGTTGTTAGGTGCTGTAGTGTGGTGTTGGTGTTGGGGTTAGGTGTTTTGTAGGTGTGGTGGTGTTGGGGTTGGGTGCGTGTAGGTTGTGGTGGTGTTGGTGTTAGGTGCTGTGTGGTGGGTTTTTGGGGGTGGTTGGGGTTAGGGGCTTTTAGTGTGGTGGTGGTGTGGGGTTAGGTGCTGTAGTGTGGTGGTGTTGGGGTTAGGTGGGTAGTGTGGTGGTGTTGGGGTTAGGTTTCTGTAGTGTGGTGGTGTTGAGGGTTAGGTGCTGTAGTGTGGTGGTTGGTGGTGGGGTTTTGGTGCTGTAGTGTGGTGGTGTTTGGGGTTAGGTGCTGTAGTGTGGTGGTGTTTGGGGTTAGGTGCTGGTTAGTGTGGTGGTGTTGGGGTTAGGTGCTGTAGTGTGGTGGTATGGTATGGTGGTTAGGTGCTGTAGTGTGGTGGTGGTGGTGTTGCGGGTTAGGTGATTTTGGTAGGTTTGTTGGGGTTAGGTGGCTGTAGTGTTGGGTGTGTTGGGGTTAGGTGCTGTAGTGTGGTGGTGTTGGGGTTAGGTGCTGTAGTGTGGTTAGGTGTGTTGGGTTTGGTGCTGTAGTGTGGGGTTAGGTGCTGTAGTGTGGTGGTGGTGTATGGTGGGGTTAGGTGGGTGTAGTTGGGTGGTGTTGGGGTTAGGGGCTGTAGTGGGTGGTGTGGTGTTAGTGCTTGTAGGTGGTTTGGGGGTGGGGTTAGGTGTGTAGTGTGGTGGGTGGGGGTTAGGTGCTGTAGTGTGGTTTGTTTTTGGGGTTAGGTGTTGGCTGTAGTGGGTGTATGGTGGTGTTGGGGTTAGGTGGCTGTAGTGTGGTGGTTGGTATGGTGGTTAGGTGCGTAGTGTGGGTGGTACTGGTGTTGGGGTTAGGTGCTGTAGTGTGGGGTTTGGTGCTGTATTGTGCTGTGGATGGTCATGTGGTTTAGGTGCTGTAGTGTGGTGGTTGTTGGGGTTAGGTGCTTGTAGTGTGGGGTATGGAGTGTGGGAGGTGTGTAGTGTGTAGTGTGGTGGTTTTTGGGGTTAGGTGCTGTAGTGTGGGTGTTTGGGTTAGGGTTAGTGATGGTGGTTGTTAGGTGCGTTAGGGGTGTAGTGTTGGGGTTAGAGCTGTAGTGTTTGGGGGTATGTGTTGGGTTGCATGTTAGTATCCCATGGCGTGAAGTTGGTATCGGGGGCCTTGAGATCATGAAACGGTATGTTGGTATCTGGCGGGGGCGAGAGGTCATGGGGAGTGGGGGGCTGGGGTCGACACCATCATGAAAAACGGGCGGTAGTTCGACTTATACTGGAGGAAGTCTAGAGACATGTTGGTCTGGAGAGGACAGAGGTAGAGGTAGTTACACAGGAGTCGATCCCAGATGGTGCTGTAGTGATCTGACCATGAGTTAGTGGACAGGGACAGTCGTTTCCAGTAATGCAGGTATTGTGTCTTGCAGGACTACACAGCTGTTCTCCGTACGTTGTCAGGTGTCTGCTGTAGTTCTCCATGTTTGGATTCCCATCACAGACAGAGTTAGTGTAGTATGAGTTCATCCGAATTTACGGACAGAGTATAGTGAGTGCTGAGGTGAAGTGTTGGTCCCCAGAGTGACTGTATAGGGATAATTAATCTCCCAGAGTCTAGGGCTGATATAGGGATATCAATCTCCCAGAGTCTAGATGATATAGTGGATATCTAATCTCCCAGGCTAGTATTAGGGTTAACTAGAGTTGATGAATAGTGGATATTTAATCTGGTTAGACTGTCAGTGTATCTATCTCCCGAGGCTTTGATGATTGGGTAATCTAATACAGAGTTAGACTGAAGTGGTTATTAGAGTTGACGATAGGATCTATCTCCCAGCGTTGATGAAGTGGATAATATCTCCAGAGTTGAAGTGGATCTATCCCCAGAGTAGGAAATGGCTATCTGGTCGAATATATGAAAAATTCCGGTAGACTGAATAGTGGAAATAATTCTAAATACCCAGAGTCTTAAAGGGACTCTGATAGTGAAGGATAATCTAATCTCACCAGAGTCTAGACTGATATAGTGGATAATCTAATCTCCCCAGAGTCTAGACTGATATAGTGGATAATCTAATCTCCCCAGAGTCTAGACTGATATAGTGGA